GGGGGGCGATGCGGGAGGACGAGGGCACCGGCGTGGAGATGGGCCAAGACGAGGAGGAGGAGGAGGAGGAGGAGGAGCAACAGCTGCTTCTATTGCAACACCAGCAGCAGGGGCAAGCACTTGCAGTCCAAGGAGGGGCAGGAATGGCAGCCCATCACACCCAGATGGTCACGTCACAGCATGTGCACCAGCATCAGCAGCAGCACGTGGCGGCGCCAATGGTGATGGGGGCGGGCGGAACTGGTGGGAACGGAGGAGCGGCAGTGTCGTACATGCAGGTGGGGGTTGGAGGCGGGAACATGCAGGAGGAAACGGGCTCAGATAGCGAGGGGTAATGTCGGATGGCTCACGCGCAGGCAGATTAGGAAGTGGACGGGACGGGTATGAGCCCGACGTGTGAATCGCAATTTTCGTATATGTATGAGTCGGGCATGCAGGAATTGTCACAATCGATGTTTACCATGAGTGATACTGGATGCATCCGCCGGCCTAGGGGAGACAGGCATCACGAGACATGCTAGGAGTATAATGGTGGCGGCGTGGGGTGCGCTTGCTTCGCGCATGGTATTCATTGGGAAGGGGAGAACGAGATCGAAGATGTCTAAGTCATGTTTACAGAAAGAACACTTTCAAATTAGAGCGTCGAAATTTTGTCGCGGACGACGGCCTCACTTGACATTTACTTGCTACAGCCTCTTTCGTATTCATTCTGCTCTTGTATCAGCATGATGCGTCTAGGAAAGAGAAGGGTAGTCCAGACGAATAACATAACTTGAGAGCAAAGGAACGTAAGGCAAGCTACGAAACGGGTCAATGTACAATCGGTGGTCACAACGGTCGTAAAGTCTTTTGAAAGGTGACAAGAAATGTTTTTCTAAGAATTTCACACCTCGGCTCGCGCTCTCGTACGAGGAAATTTCTTGCTCTGGCCACCAATTAGTAGTCCTGCGAAGCAGATCCCTTGCCACTCTTCTTTCCCTTAGACTTTGGAAGGAGCACTGTGAATGGGCGATTGAAATAGCGGTGCATCGTGATGTGGGTCGACGCTCATGTTCAAGTAGAAAGCGACCGAGTCTTACTACATCACATCCCATCAAGTTCACGTTTCTACTTTTCCAATACAGGTCTACATCCTTACCAGAGTGAATATTGGGAAGCACGCCACCAGAAGCAATGGTCACACCGCCGAGCAACTTGTTCAGCTCCTCATCGTTGCGGACAGCCAGTTGGACGTGACGGGGAATGATCCGGGTCTTCTTGTTGTCGCGGGCGGCGTTACCAGCCAGTTCCAAGATCTCAGCCGTCAGGTACTCCAGCACGGCAGCCAGGTACACGGGAGCGCCGGACCCGACACGCGCGGCATAACGTCCCTTCTTCAAAAAGCGGGAAATCCTGCCGACTGGAAATTGAAGGCCTGCTTTGGAGGAACGAGAAACGCCTCCTTTCTTGCCACCGCCGCGGCCACTTTTGCCTTTGCCAGCCATATTTTGCTAGTGTCTTGAGGAGATTCCTGCACGATGGGAAGGGGATGTCAAGAATTCGGTTCCTCGTCCATGTCCACAAAATATCGCACATCACTTTTGAGCACTGCACTGTCTCGAACAATGAGATGTGGTAAGAATTGGACCCCTTCGAGCACGCGAGGATCTCAAGACACTCCAGAATCATGTTGGTGCCAGCTCAGAGGAGTACAAAAGAAATTTGCACGACGAAATGACGGTGACGATAGGATTAATGTTGTGCTACAGTCCAATTACTTGATGAGACATGTATATGCCAAATCAACAAGGCATCGTGCTGAGTTGAAACGATAAAAGAGAAAAGTGAAGAGAAACACAACGACGTGACGAGGCAACATAGAATGCCTGCCGCCTTGTCGTCACAGACTGAGCAATTTTGACACTAACCCGGATGTAAAACATGACGCCATGAAAATTTAACGGCTTAGTGGACCAATCAGAGCGCACGGAGGCGGGAGGGGGGGGAGAGCCCGCGACAACGGCCCAGCAACAAATTTGTAGTGCGGCTCTTAGTTTCTCCCGTGATCTGCTTGTCATGTTGTTTGTAGAGTCGCATACATTATCACTGTGCATCCTTATCGCTAAGAACCACTTCGCACCATACGTCCTTGAGCCTTTCCAATGTTACCTCTGATTCAGTCGCACGGTGCCACCCTGAGTCCGTAGCCGTCTCAAGCATTTGCTCTTCATAGCAGTTGCCCCCAGGCTTCACACACAATACGCCTGGTCGGCATCACAATTTGCCATTTAGGCTTGAGTCTCAATGCAATCTGGTTGGAGACCTAGGAGCGCATGTATCACCGTGGTGCAGTGCTCTTGCCTACTTTTGACACTCCTTCCTCACATCTGTCCCCTTTTTCCCGCCCATTTTACCAGACCTTTTCAAACCTTACCATCCTAACACAATGGCCAAGACCCCCTCTAAGAAGTCCGCCAAGGCCCCTAAGAAGGCAGGCAAGGGCACCAAGAAGAAGACCCGCGTGGAGAGCTATGGCTCCTACATCTACAAGGTGCTCAAGCAGGTGCATCCCGACACTGGTATCTCCAAGCGTGGTGTTTCCATCCTGAACTCCTTCATCGGTGACATTTTCGACCGCCTCGCCACGGAGGCTGGCAAGCTGGCTCGTTACACCAAGAAGTCCACCCTCTCCTCCCGCGAGATCCAGACGGCTGTCCGCCTGACGCTGCCCGGTGAGCTGGCCAAGCACGCCGTGTCCGAGGGCACCAAGGCTGTCACCAAGTACACGAGCTCCTCCTAAGAGACTTGTGCTCTAATTCCTACCGCAGCTCACGCGACTCGTGGTAAAAAAAAATTCGAAAAAAACAATTCCAACTGGGTTCCTTTAGAACCCCTCAACAAACTCAACAAGCGCCTTATTTGCTACTCGGACACGGGTCGATATCCTTTTCTTCCTTCACTGAAAATTGTTGTGCACTTTTAATCACAGTCTTCTACTCATACGAGAAAAGAATAGTTTTCGATCATTGATATCAGGTCTTCGGCGCGGTGCATTCCTGCCATGTCGCCCTTCCGGGTGTGCGAAGTCCTGACTTCCACAGTCATGACATCGAAATTGATGAGCGCATCTGGAGGCAAAGTTTACGTACGTACTCCGTTTCGGAGACGAAGTGGTCTTTGATTCAACCGCGACTACTCCAGTATCAAGCATGTCTAGCGACAGGTCAAAATTTGGCATAGTGAGCTCAGTCGGTCTTGTTTGTGGAAAGGATATCCAAACGTCAAAAGCGCGCGAAATATCTATCGCTGGTTCATCCAGTGCTGCCTTCGGGGCGAACCCCCCCTACAATCTATTCGTTAGGGGCATTCCGAGTCTGATTATGGAGTTGTAGGTCAAGACTGTGGCAGGCGTGAAAGAGAGATACCACAGTGCAAAAAGTGTCAATTTGAACAATTGTGTAGTAGGCGTGACAGAAGATCAGCGAACCCGCCGAGCGGCGCTCTCCGCCTGAGCCCTTGCTTATGCCCCCGCGCCGCAAAAACCTTACCGTAGGAATACGAACGCACCGAATTTTTCTCATTTGTTCAAAAACTACTTAAGAGAATGGTAACTCTTGTCTGCTTCGAGACGGAAGTACTGATAATTTGCCGTGACGCGAGGCAAAGGTAAAGGGCAGTGCGGTGTAGCTTCATTATGCTACACGGAACAAATGTAACACCCTTCATTTAAATCATGGGTAAGGTACTACTTGCCTCTTTCAGGACGTGATGGACAATGACATATATTATCATGAAGTGTGCGGTGTTGTTCGGCCAAACTTATCACGCCCCTACATGGAATGGGGGGCTCCAGTGTACGCTGATCCCCGTCACGTGGAACATGGTGTCTTTAAGTACCGTGGGCTCGTTGAAGGGACGCAATACTTTGATGCGGCTCATAAACGAGCTCTTAAAAAGCAGTTTTGTGGTCTCTTTCTCCGCGAACTTGCCGCAGGTCGAAATGCGCTCAGGGACGCCGCTTCGGATAAATCGTGTGGCCGACTCCCGCGTTGCCCCTGTGAACGAATCTCACGCCCGCTCTCGCCCACGTGCCCCGCACAGCAAATTTGGCTACGCTAAAGATGGGGAACATGTGGGCCAAAAAGCCTTTGAAGGAAATTATGCGCGAGAATAAACGCATGATTAACCGCGCCATCCGGGAGCTGGACCGGGAGCGCAACAACTTGGAAAAGAACGAGAAGAAGCTCATAATGGATATAAAGAAATATGCCAAGGAGAACCAGATGGGGGCGGTCAAGACCATGGCAAAGGACTTAGTTCGTACACGGTGCGTGGGGTAGGGGCCCCGGTAAAAGCGCATGCGTGCCTGGACTCTCGTTCAACTCAGAAGGAGTCTTATGGGTGGTTTTCCCACAAGTAAAAAAAGGACACCAGAAATTTTTACAATCTGTCCCTGTGTTCCCTATTTCCACATATTTCTGCTATCACGCTTCCGATAGAAATTATCAGACCAAGTTCATTGAAATGCGCTCGCATTTGCAGGGGGCTGCCCTGAAGCTGGAAACCGTGCGGTCCCACGAGGCCATGGCCAGTGCCATGCGCAGCGTTACATCGGCCATGGTAAGCATGAACAAACAGGTCAATGTCCCGGCGCTCACGAAGATCATGACGGACTTCGCCCGCGAGAACGAGAAGTCGGAGCTGACGGGGGAGATGCTGGGTGACGCCATGGACGACGCGATGACGGAGGAAGGGGACGAGGAGGAGCAGGAGCGGATCGTGGGCGCCGTGCTCACGGAGCTGGGTTTGGACATGACGGACGCCGTGCCCGAGGCCCCAGGGGCGGTGCCCAATACGGCCACTGCCACGGCCGCGGCCACCAGCAGTGGGGGACAGAGAGAGCCACAGGCGTTGGGGGCAGACCCGACCATGACGGATCTGGAGGCACGTTTGAACAATTTGAGAAGGGAGTGAGTCGGGAGTTGAAGTCGAGGACGCAGGGGGGAGGGGCGGGGCTCACAGAGAGTTACTGTGGGTGATTTATAATGTGAAAGAAAGCAATCGAGAAAACCAAGAAGTATCCACCTTATAGGGCGTCGGTCGAACGGAACCGCGTTGCGTGCATCGAGTTAGGTCAAGGAGAGGGCATCCCAGAGCCTCTGACTCGCGTGTTTTTCCTCATTGTCTTTATTTTTTTTATCTGATTGACAAATGGGTCGGATCATCCTTCTCATGAGCCTTGTGCCTCCTCCTTCCTGGTTCTTTCTTCATCATCCATCGGCGCATTCCTTGTGCGGGCGCTCCCCCGTCCACGGATTCCCCACCGCTGCAGCACCCTCCTTCTTCCCCTTCTCCTGTCCCACCTGTGAGCAATTTGGCGCGTGCGTACTAGAAGACAGGCCGCAGGCCCTGTCCCCGACCGTCCTTGTCCGCGCCACTGTTAGTGACATGCCCACTGTTACCAGAAGGGGTACCGGAAGAGGAAGAAAGCGCACCGGCTGTGTGCGCAGGAGTGCCTGCCCCGTCACCATACGTGATGGAGCAATTTGGCAGGAGCTGCTGCAGTAAAGCCACGCCCGAACGCAACGAGGGGTAGAGGCTCCCGCTGGCTTCGCCACTTCCCGCACCGACGTAGCCGCGGGTCATGCCTGTCACCCCCTCTGTCGCTTTGTCGCCCCCGGCACCGCCTTCTTCTGTGGCGAATGAATAGCGGGAGCTTGGAGCCTGGGTGGAGGAGGGGACGGGCGGCTGTTGCGGGGGGGGGCACGCGCGGGTCCGGGCGGACAAGGAGGAAGGAGCGTCGGGCAGGTCTAGGCCGAGAAGGCTGACGAGGCATTCGGTGGCGGTGAAGGCCTCTCGGCGAGCATCCTTATTGCCCCTCCCTGTCCGAGCCCCTCCGATGGTACCTGTCTCAGTCCGGTCCAGAGACCCCGCTCCCGCGTGACCGAGGAGGCCACTCCTCTTTTGCCCCTCTCCGACTCCGGTGCCCGCGAAGGGAAACGCCGAGAAGAGCAGGTGGGTTCCGGGATGCTGCAGGGCGCCATGGCCTCCGTTGCTCCCGCTTTCCTCCGCCAAACTCTCACCCGAGGAGGAGGATAAGCCGGGCGCTTTTGAAAAGGGCCTCCCGCTGCCAAGCACACCTTGACTGTTGCCGCTGCTGCTACTGCCCCCCCCCGCCCACAACATGGATAAAAGGCCTCCTCTGAGTGGCGGTTGAATCGTCTTCTCTGAGACCTTCGGACCCGGCGGCCCGGGGGGACGCACCTGCTTCCTCGCCTCTCCTCCTTCCTCCCTTACCCCTGGAAGAGGCATCCCTTCGATCCCACCGAGCCGATCTTCGCCCCCAAAAAGAGTTAACGATGGCGGACTGGCGCCTTCCGCTCCTTCTTGCCCTAACTCGGACGCGGAGTCCGTGCTGATGCCGACGTCACCGTTATGTTGCACAATCCCCTCCATCGACCAAAGCAATCCGCCTGACCCACCCGCTGCAAGGTCGAAAGGGAGGACACCTAGAGAGGGCCCCCCCGGATTCGGAGTTTGAGGGGGTGAAATAATCCCGGGCGGCGGTTGCGGGAGACCAGTAACGGCCGCGTTCCCTAAACCCGGCCCATTGGTGGCAGCTTCTCGACCAGGCGCCATTCTGGCGACGGCGACACCAAGTAAGGCGGAAGGCTCTGCTGCTGCTGCTGCTTGTGACTGCTGATGGAGTTGGCTCTTGCGGGCTGGGTGGGGGGGTGGGCGGTGGGACCGCGAGACGGAGCGGTAGAGGTGGCCAGGAGACCTGCTTTTGCCGGCGGTGCCTGCGAAGATAAACTTCCATGCGAATGCACGGGCTGCTGCCTTTCTAGCTCTTGCTGTTGGTGCTGGTGTGGGTGTTGCTGCTGTTGCTGGTTCCACGGGTTGGCGGGAGGCCGGGCGGCCCCAGGCCTCTGTCTGGTGTTCCCCGCCGCCGTCACAGTGGTGGACGGCATCGCATAGGCCTGCCCCCCGCCTCCCCCCGACGGCTCCTCCCACCGCGGGGGTGGGAAGATCGGCGCCGCCACCCTCCTCCCCGTCCCACTGGGCCCGCCCTGCCCGACCATGAC